CGAACTCCTGAGCTCAAGCAATCCGCCCGCCTCGGCCTCCCAGAGTGCTAGGATTACAGGCGTGAGCCACCGCGCCTGGCCTCTTCTGAACATTTTTTGAAACTAAAAAAAAACCCTAGTTATTAAATTTCTAGATAACTTAAGTACAAACTTAGTGTCTAGAAACCTACCCCATAGGCTATAATTCTATATGTCATCCAACATCTATTTCGTTTTTTATTAGCAAATAAACTATTCTCTGAAATAACAGGTGGCTCCTCCTACCCCAACTTTAATGTTAATAGTGTCATGAACAATATTGGGTACACTCCTCCACCAAAAGAAGCCTCTGTTTGAGCCATTCCCAAACCAAGGTATTAAAAGTGATCATTCTTCACCAAACAAAGATATTTTTGGACTGCAACCCAGGAGAGACTGGACACCTCAGTAGGTATTATTGTGCTGCTATCCTGGGAAAACAATCCTTGCTATAAAAGAACACAAAGACCAAGTGTGTCCTTGACAAAAATCAAGATGTTTATAGCCTATATTTTAAATTCTGTATGAGATAAACTTCTATTACAGAAAAATACGACATGGGTTCCTGGAATTAAACTCCATGAGCTTTCTATTCAAAGATTTTTCTTTTAAACAAGGTACTTCAATTATATATAGTCTTCTCCATTTGTCCACAACCAGAATGTGCCTAAATGCGAGTTCCTTCCATAGGTCAGAGCGAGAAACTACGGAGAATTAAAATTTTCTGTGCCAGCAAGCACATACCACCTGTCAATAAGGCATTCTGAACCAAGAAAGATTAGCAAACAAAAAATGCTACAATGTACTTGTTTCTGGTGGTCTCCCCCTCCTCTAGCCGCCCGCAGCGAATAAGACCATGCCCAGGCTCAAGCCGCCAAATCCCTGCCTTTCACGTAAAGGGAAGGGAATTGGCCCTCTCTCGGCCTCCGACCCTGTCTGCTAGCCTCTTGGCGGCGGGGTCAGGGGCCTGCAGCGCAGGCAGACAACAAGAGGCCGCCGGAGAGGCCGGGACTGGAGCTGGACAGGCCTCGGCCCCCACCCCGGCGCTGCAGCTGAGCCCCGCGCTAGCCCTGCCGTAGGGGGAATGGGGTTGGAGGCAGGCGCTCGTCTCCGTGCACTGGGCGCCGCTGCGGCCTGGCCTTGTAGCCAAGGGAGAGCAAAAATTACACGTCGTCGTAGGTGGTAGGCAGAGTGAGGGATTCCTCTCGCGAGCAAGACCCCGGGAGCCTAACCGCCGCCGCCCCTTCCCCGAGCGCGCCATTTCCAGGCCCGGGCCCTCCAGGCGCCTCTCCCAGGCTTCCGCGGGCCCAGCCGGGCTCCTGCCTCTCGCCGCTTCGGGTGATCGCAGGACGCCACCGCCCCTAGATCCCCGACTCCGCTGCCCCCAGCCCCAGCAGGGGCCTGCGCACGCCCGCCTCACCCTCTGCCGCCGCCGAAGCTGCTGTAGGCCCGATCGTCGTAGGTATCGAAGTCCGCCATTTGCCGTCTCCGCTCCGAGAGGAACCAGGGTGAGCGAGGAAGGACCCCGCAATATAACTCCCCCCACCCCGCCACCGGGGCTGTCCGCCGCGCCGCCTGATCGCAAATCGCACGCACGCACGCGCGCGCGCGCACGTACGCCGCGCCGCGCCCAGCCTGGGGCGACGGGCCGCTGGTGGCCCGGCGCGCTCTGCGGCCCACGTGGTGCGGCTGCGCATTGGCTGCGCGCCCGGCTTGCCACCCCGGCCCATTGTGTGCTGGCCCCGAGGCCTCACCCGCCGCCGGTCCGGGTCCCCGCCCCGCCCGGGCGCGCTGGCCTTCGCCTGCCGTGGGGGGGCTCTCTCCCCGGTGTCGCCTGGGACCCTGCACGGGCCCGCCGCGCTTTATGTTGTCGCTTAGCTTTTCGGACTCCAGATCTGGCGGGTACCCCGGAGGCCGGCTCCGCTTGGCCCCTCTCCGACACACCTCTTCCGGCCAAGTGGTCGCCGGGTAACACCAAGGACAGGCTGCCTCCTGTAGGCGGGGACCCCACGGAGTGGGCACACTCCAAGGATGCCCAGAGGGGCAGGGCCTAGAAGGGGCGCCAGGCGCGGGATGCGGACGCGAATCCTGCCTTCTGGGGTCTAACTCGCTGCCTGGACATTGGGGGTTTATAGGCTGTCATTGAAGTAGCGGGAGAGTCCACACATGACGATTTTGCATAAGTCATTGCGCTGGAAAAGAATCCTGATGTGAATTCCATCATCTAGCACTTGCAAAGAATGGTTACGCAGTGAGAATTAATTACACTGCTAATTTCCAGGTTTGCGATTGAGATTGTGGTAATATTGGATCCTCCCACCGTTGGATGCACCAAGGTTGATGTACCCCGATGTGTCTAGGCACGATTTTAAAAACCTCATAAAACTTTCTTGCAATGTATACGCGGGTATTTTACGGTTAGCCAGTACTTTTATATTTAAGCATCTCCTTTGTGCCAGTACTGGGATTGACAGAACAGCTGTTAACTCATTTTTGTTCGTTTTTCTGTCCTTTTTTTTCTTTCCAAGTTATTAAAACACTTTGCTATCAGATAGACCCAGAGTAAACCTGGGCTCAGTTAACCTGAGCTTCACCTGTTACTAGTTAGGTGACTTCCAGTTCCTTAACTTTTTTTTTTCTTTTTTTTAAAGAGATGGATTCGCCTTAGCACCCGGGTTGGAGTTGGAGTGCAGTGGCATGATCATAGCTCACTTTGGCCTTGAACTCCTGGCCTCAAGTGATCCTCCTGAGTCTCTGGGATTACAGGCATGAGTCACAATGCCTGGCCCCTTAACTTCTTTAATATCTCAATTTCCTCATCTATAAGGATTAAATGAGTAGATATTAGTAAAATTCCTGGCACACAACAATATATATTGGGCACCTACTAAATGGCACCATTGAAGGTCTTTTACATATATTACAGACCTCTCATTTTACAGCTGTGGAACCACCCAGAGAGAGGAAATGACTTGCCCAAGGTCATGTAGCTTTGACCTCTTAGCACATGTCTCAGACAATAACCCATCAATGGTTTCTCCCCTCTTTGCAGGGTTTAAACTTAGGCCCTCCTCCACGTTTAAGAGCCCCATTAGTCTTAAAATGCACTTAAATGCGTTTGACTAAATGAAACCTTAATATGTATCCTTGAATAGCCTTACATTTTTTTTTTTTTTAAATTCCCAAGCCTCCCAGTCCAAAGTCACCTCAATGTGAGATCCTGGAAGGGAATCATGTTGAGGGGTTATGTCTGTCATCTCCCACAGGACCTAGATGAGGAAGACGGGATAATTTATTACTAATGGAGAAAAAAAGGGAAGAGTAATAGGAAGGTTGGGCTTTCTCAGCACTGGCCCATCCACAGGTCATCCCCCTCTTCCTAGCTTAATCTGCCTTTATACCTAGCCAGCACCCAGGGCCAATCTTCTGGGCCATACTCCTAGACCCTCCAGTCCATAGGCCTGTTCCTCTTCTGTTGGTCTCAAGCACATAGCCTGCCTCCACCTGGGATCTAGAGGATTGAGGTCAACCCTAGAAGGTTCCATAAACATTGTGACTGACTCTGTGGCAAAGTTAAATGTCCAACCCTTCCTGAGGTTATCCTCGTGAATTTTGGTCTTAATTGCTCCCTAATCCCTTCCCCAGTATGGACTTCCCAGCCTTTATCAGTCCTCTGGAGCCCTGGGGGTGGTTCTCAAAGGCCCAACTCAGATATCCCTTTCTCTAGAAGCCTTTATTGCAGTGGTGAAGCCTCTGGGTTTGCATTTCAACTGCCTGTCATCAAATCCTAGCCAAGCCACTCACTACTGCTGTCTCAGTTCTTGGTCTATGAAATAGGAATAGTAGTCATTGTGTTATCAGATTTCCATATTCATGCTATTTTAAAGCTCTGAAATGTTGGTGTTTTGTTGGTATAATACTGTTAATTTATTATCTATTAAAATAATCTGAACTATGAATCATTTTCATGTGAAATTAAGGTCAATTTATATTTAATTTATGTGAAAACACAGTGGTATTTTACAAATTGTACAGATTCCCTCCTGCATGAATTTAAGTAAGCATCAGTACTGAGCTCCTGCAAAACTTCTGTTACAAGCATGAGTATTATTCTAGGCCAAAGACTTCCCCAACAAGTGAATAGGAATGAGAAAAAAATTGAAATTGACACACGGGATCCCCATCCCCATCTCTACATGTTGAAAATGAAGAAAAAAATGTACTGAACATGCTTTCTTCGAAACCAAAACTGTTGCTCACTAGCACTAAAAATGTGCAGACTTTGTGAAATAACTCAAAAATTATTCAAAAAGATCTCAAATATATCAAATAAGAGATGGAAATATTTGAAAAAGGATACTTCAACTCTTGCATCCTTGGTCTATAATCCACATAACTGTCAGAGTGTTTCTTCTAACACTTAAATAAGGCCGGGTGCGGTGGCTCACGCCTGTAATCCTAGCACTCTAGGAGGCTGAGGCGGGCGGATTGTTTGAGCTCAGGAGTTTGAGACCAGCCTGGGCAAGAGCGAGACCTCGTCTCTACTAAAAAATAGAAAGAAATTAATCGGACAACTAAAAATATATAGAAAAAATTAGCCGGGCATGGTGGCTCATGCCTGTAGTCCCAGCTACTTGGGATGGGAGGCTGAGGCAGCAGGATTGCTTGAGCCCAGAAGTTTGAGGTTGCTGTGAGCTAGGATGATGCCACGGCACTCTAGCCTGGGCAACACAGTGAGACTCTGTCTCAAAAAAAAAAAAAAAAAAACACCTAAATCAGGGCATATCATTTTTTTGCTCAAACTTTCCTGTCTCCCTCAGAGTAGAGGCCAAAGCCCTTAAGTGGCCCACAAGACCCTGTTTGGTCTGTTCCCAGCCCTTCCTTCCAGGTCACTCGTCTGCTCAGCCACACTGGCTTCCTGGCTTTTCCTCGAGCCCCCTAATCACCTTCTCAACCCAACCTTTCCTATACCGCTGCCATACCCACTTGATGTCCATCTTCCTTTCCTTTAGTTCTCTGCTCAAAGAGGCCTTCCCTGACCTTATTACTTGAAATAGCTACAGCCCCCAATTTTCACTTTGTTGCCCTCTTTGCTTCTTTTTTCCAGCACTTGTCCCACCTAACTTCTTATCACTTTATTATTTGCTTGTTTAATGTCTGTCTTTCCCGAAGGCAGGGAAAAAAATCAGTTGACTATAAAAGTGAGAGTTGATTTCTGGACTCTTGGTTCTATTCCACTGATCCATAAGTCTATCTTTCTGCCGGTACCACAATGTCTTTTTATTTTTATTTTCATTTTTTTTGAGACAAGAGTCTCACTCTGTCGCCTTGGCTAGAGTGCAGTGGGGTCATCGTGACTCACTGAAATGGCAAACACCTGGGCTCAAGTGATCCTCCTGCCTCAGCCTCCCAAGTAGCTGGGAGTAAATTTTCTTTTTTTTTGTAGAGATGGGGTCTTGCTCTTGCTCAGGGTGGTCTCGAACTCTTGGCCTCAAGCAATCCTCCCATCTGAGCCTCCCAAAGTGCTAGGATTACAGGTATGAGCCACCATGCCCAGCCCACAATGTCTTCAATGTCTTTTTTTTTCCCCAGGCTGATTGGATAGTTGGAATCACAATGTCTCGATGACCATTCATTGCTTTGGTAAATTTTGAAATCAAGAAGTGTCTTCCAACTTTGTTTTTCTTTTTCAAGATCGTTTTGGCAATTTGGAGTCTCTTGAATTTCAATATGAATTTTAGGATCAGATTATCAATCTCTACAAAGAAGTCAGTGGGGATTTTGATAGGCACTGCGATTTAATCTGTACATCGATTCGGGAAATATTGCCTTCTTAACAATTTTAAGTCTTCAGATCTATGGACATGGATGTCTTTCTGTTTATTTAGGTCATCTTTAATTTCTTTCAATGACATTTTGTAGATGGATGAGGATTTTTGCATCTGTATTCATAAGAGATATTGGTCTGTAGTTTTCTTGTTATATCTTTGTCTGGTTTTGTGTGCTTTATTTAAGATGACTTTTTTTTTTTTTTTTTTTTTTGAGACAGAGTCTCACTCTTTTGCCAGGGCTAGAGTGAGTGCCGTGGCGTCAGCCTAGCTCACAGCAACCTCAAACTCCTGGGCTCAAGCGATCTTTCTGCCTCAGCCTCCCGAGTAGCTGGGACTACAGGCATGAGCCACCATGCCCGGCTAATTTTTTGTATATATTTTTAATTGTCTGATTAATTTCTATTTTTAGTAGAGACGGGGTCTCGCTCTTGCTCAGGCTGGTCTCGAACTCCTGAGCTCAAACAATCCGCCCGCCTCGGCCTCCCAGAGTGCTAGGATTACAGGCGTGAGCCACCGCGCCCGGCATAAGATGACTCTTTTTAAAAGAGAAATAGATTTCATGTTTAATTTTCATGACTAATTTAAATTTTCTTTTTGCAACTGTTCAGGTTATCATTTTCTGAACAATGCTTTATTTTATTTTTATCTGCTAATTTTGTTATAAATTTAAGTTTTAACTTGATTTTTATGTTAAAATCTTTGTGTTTGAAATACAACAAATATTTGGTTTCACTGATTTTCTATTATTTTTTAAATTTTTGTTTTGTTAAGTTTTACAGGGAT